ATAATAAATTTTTATTCAAAAATGTAACTTATTCATTTTTGTTTACTGAAATTAAATTAAAAATTGAATTTCTAATCATAATTGATATGACAGGAAGAAAAGTCAAATTTAGATTGATTTACTTATTATGATTTTTGTTCAACATTAATTCCTTCTTTGTTCAATATGCTGATTATTCATTGTAGTATTTGTTTTGATGAAGTTTTGTTCTTTGAGCTGAATGGTTTAGTCGTGTTTTTGTTTTCTCGTATGACATTTTATTCTCTATAATATACAATATTCTTTGTATTAAATGAACATCAACTATGCACAGAATGATATGTAGCATGTAATTTGTTTTAATTGTATGTATTTTTTTAATATATGTGATTCCATCCCGATTATTAATCAAAATAGGTGTACGAATCAGTATATAAATGAGTGTATTCTCGACCACTGTCGTTGTGTTTTGAGTTTAATAAATCTTCATCTGTACCAGTTTTTGTGTTCTTACTTTCGCATCGCAGGAATCGCAGTGGTTCATCCTTTTACAAGTATAACTACTAAGCGATTCTGATATCGTAATTAGAGACGACCCGATATAACAAGTAGCATTCAATTAGAAGTCTTATCGATAATAAATAAATTGATTAATATAATTGTAATATCTCACTGAGTAGAAAAATTAAATTTTCTGACGTTTTATGACTCAGTGTAAGCCACTTCTTCAGAGAATAAAATATGTTAATTTATTTATAACAATCTATTCAATGCCCAATTTATTCGAAATTATCAAATCAAACCATGGTAATGATACCTATTTAAATGAAATAACTTGGAAATAGAACCACCAAAAATATATTCTTACCATTAAATCTTTTATTTTAGTTTACTGCTCAGTAAGAATATTTTAAAACTATTAGTTAGCACTTATGATCAATCATGTTTCCTATTCCCTTAGATACAATTCTGGTGAAAAGTTTCTAATTTTAATACATTTTAGTATACTGGATATGTATTTACCAGCGGAAATCAAGACGGTGATTTTATCCTATTTAAATCCTGTCAGCTTAATAACCTACACTACAGTGTTGGTAATCACAATAAGTCTTCAACCTAGTACCTTTTGCTTCATGCACTAAACACGTTATCCACTGCGCTACTTAGTCTGAATAGACACTAACTTGTTCCACGACTATGAATGTATTAATATCCATTGAACGAGTTACTGATAACCTAGGTTCAAGGCCCCAGTAGATAATGAAAAGCGAAATGTACTAATTATACAAAAACTTTTGACAATGTTAAAATGAAGTAATCTGTTCAGAATGCACATATGGGAATAAAGACTCATCAATTGGGGTTCTGAATATCAACAAGGAGAAAATATAACCCCTTACCAATTCCATTATATCTTATATGCGTGAATTGATCAAACCAGTAAAATAAATCAACTTTGTATTACATATGTACCGTACTTATGCCATATATCTTGTGTTTACAAATGTTATTGTTACAAATAAAACTCAACAAGACCCTCCAAGGAAGTATGTATTTTTGCCATGTCTCATCAGTACATTCTTATAACCTGCTACCAAAATATTATTGTGGGAATCTTTTAGGATGGTTAAGTAACGATGGAGACCATTTAAATGTAGTAACAGTCAATGTTTTTGGGTCTCATTATTGGAATGGACGGTAGGATGCATGCACATCTGAATAACGAAACATAAAGAGGATGACACACGATTTTTGAATTTACCGTTAACTACGATACAAAAATATAGTGAAAGTTGTACCTGGAAGCATTACAAAGGCGCCCACTCAGAGTTTACAGAGACTAGTCTAATGCAGTACTGAATATCAATAAAACAAACCCTTAAAAATAGTTAACAAACATTTATTTATTTGGTATAACTATAAAAGCTAAGTGGTTGGCAGCACCAATTATTAGCTATTTGCTTTGGTTGTATGGTGTTTGCTCCATAATTCTTTATAATCATTGATTCAACCATGAAAGTGCATCATTAGGGTGCTGGCAATACAGGAAAAAAACAGTTATTCACTATGATAACTGATTTCAACTGGTTTCCTAGATGATATCATTATCACCTGATCAATACTGTTCTTACTTTATAAAATCAGCTTGATTTTATGTGAAAGTTACTATGTTTAGTAGTCGGTCACGGTTTTTCCACATGTAAAATAATCATTGCATCATCAATAATTTATTAATGAATTACTAATAATCTTTCTCATGTCATTTTATTAAGATTGAATTATTAGGAAAAAGTCAGATTTGACATTTTAATTAAAATGAGTGATGAATGTGTAAATACAGTTGTCTACTGCAGCATTTATGTGTTATTTATCATCATATATTACATCGTCTTTGATGCAAAAATAGAACAAAAAAGAAGGATAAACTATAAAAAAACACTTCTGAGATAATTTACTGATTGGTTTTGTAGAACATTTCCATTACAGTTATATAATTAAAGTGAACTTCTAGTTGAAAGAATTTGTAACAGGTAACAGAAACTAGCCATGTTATCATATAAATAGTGACATGAAATTAAATTCAAAGGTATTCATAATATTTTTGATGGAAATCATAGTTGTCATATATCATAAACAAGTGAATTTGAATAATTAACATTTACGAACTCTATTTCAATGTATGATATTGTTGTAACTGAATAACTGATTTTGATTTATTATTGTTGTCATTAAAAATAATCATATATTATACTGAATTCGGTGGACGTTGCAGTTGCACCAAGTCCCGTTAGGGGTGAATGTAATGCATGTGACATTTGTTTAGACAAATAACTAAATCGACAAGTAAAGTTTAAGGCTTAAATCGAATGATTCTCTTCTTTATTCTCAAAAGAATTATATGAAATGAAATGTAAGGATTGACTTGTTATTCAGAAAAATAGTAGAGATCTAACCTTATTCATATAAATTTAGGATTACAGTAAACTGTTGACTTAACAAAATGTTTTCAGCAAACCAACTATTTACATAACGTAATGGGACATAGTGTTAGAGTGTGACTGCTAACAGATGTATATACTGAAAACGTGTTTATACATAACTTAAGTTTACTGAATTTTGGAGGTTCACAGACTTCAAAGCAAATGATAATGAAATGATGCAAAGCGTTAAGTTAAGTTTTCTTGAATCGACCTGTTTTTATTGTCCAGTGTATAGTTTTATCACACTTATTCTAAAATCTACAGTTAGTTAATTGGTGAGTACCGACCAGTGTGATTTCCGTCTAGTTTTTAATTGGTCCGAATATATGATTGACGACGTTGCAGACTATGAAGATGGATGATACAGGTTCTAATCTTAAAGGAATCATTAGCTGACTCTAAATGCAGTGCATACCTTACCGAAGAATGTTAACTAAAACGAAAACTAAGTCAACTATGCTTGTCGTTCATCTACCCTTAACCAACTAACGTCTCATAAAAAAATACTGTTATGGCAACATTCGACTTATTTATTTATTACCATATACGTTTTTTCAAGAGTTACTTGCAAACTTTCTTTAAAAAGCATGTTGCTTAGATAACAATTTTGGATGGTTGCTGACAGTCAGCTGAGAGAATAATCTTATTTATGTGTATAAGAATGTGAAGCAAACAAATAAAATATATCGTCCTTGGTATAGTTGATTTGCGGTTATCATTGGATACTAGGATGTACGTTTCGACTTATTCGGAACTTCTGATGTAATTGTATCCGCGTTCCACTGATGGATCATCCACTTAAGTAATAGGTTCAATTAGTTCGGATATGCTGGATAGTAAGAAAAGTGTATTTTGGACTCTAATTCTAACCATATACCAAATATAAAAAGATGATGCTATATTAGGGGGAAACCAGTACGAGATTTTAATACAGAAAGAGAGACTGATCAGTTGTAATACTGAAAATCAACAAACTACTATAACTGAATTGTTTTATTGTATCGCATTATATAAGCATGGAATAATTCACAAAACGCCTAAAATGAAATTTAAGTTTCAAAAAAGTGCTTTTTTATGCAGGTAAAAAATGCTCTAAAACAGTGAACATAGTTTTTTTTCAAAAAAGTCATCCATTTGACATTAGGAATCATTTATCAAATGTATTGTATTTTATTTATTTAGTTTAACACATAGATATTGGTACAAGGAGGCACCAAATACATATGTGCCACACAAATCTCATTCGATATGTGTGTGGGCTGGGATACTGCCCTGGTACCCGAACCGAAGCAGGTGGTTTTCTTAGAGGGCCACTCCCCGAGCCTTTGACCTGAAGGTCTGATCCACGAGGTAGTGGAGCATCGTAAGCAGACGCTGTCACATGGAAGCCGGTGACCAACGATTGGTTCATACGCCATTTGTTCCCGCAGGATACTGGAGCCCATGTGCACCATTGGTTTGGAATCCGATTAAAGTGCCGGACATTCGCTTCTCGTCCTCTTATTTTCGTAAACAACACCCCCACCACGAGAAGGCAGTGAGTAGGACTTCCCTGGCAGAGGCTATATACGCGTGGTCATGTGAGAGCATTTCGAGAGGTAGAGCTGACTATCCCCACTCTCCGCCGTACCAGGGCATTTGGGGGCATTGCATTTTATTATCTATCATTCACAGGATTAAACTAACAGAAATTATTCTATGATAATAAGTTAAATATTCTATCAAGAAACATTGTTTTCATTAATTGTATTTCCTAAGAGAAAATTCTTGCAAAACTCCCACCTATTTCATCGTTAATATAATAAATACAATAGTTATCTTAGAATAATTGGTGTATGGGGGATATGGGTGTGTTTATCACTCTATAAAATAATTTCTTATCAATTCATAGTATTCAATAGTCATTTTCGGTATTGTTTATTTGCTCCTCTTTCTTCTTCTATCATTATTATTGTTATTATTATTATTACTATGCTTACAAACATTTTTTTCGACAGTTTTAACCAATCAAAAAAGAAGAAAACTACACATAAATTTTGTCAACTCTCAATTATTTTTTAACAATCTAATTTATAAATTTATTGAGATTTCATGTATAATTATCTAATGTGTATACTATCTATCATTCAATTGTCCTTAGTCTAATTAATGTCATATGTGTTTATCTTATTTAGTTGAATAAACGAAAAACGAAAAAAAAATTTTTTTTTTGAAAGTGAAAAAAAATATTTAAATCAAATGTTTCACAATAATAATAATAGTAACCAAATGGTTATTAAATTTATATTGATTCTTTGTTTATCACCATCATCACTTATATCATTATTGTCTATGTTTGTTTTAAATTCATGTGAAGCATATTATTTACCCGTGAAATATAATTTTGATCATGATTTAATTGATTATTTAACAAATGTGAGTGAATTAAAATATTATCCACGTCAAACAAGATCATGTAAGTTTATGTTTAGAGAAATAATGTTTCTTTTTTTTGTTTTTTTTTATTGATAAAAAATACCTATGGAAAGTAATTTATACAAAAATATTCATCAAGATTAAAATGAATAGTTTGACAGAAATAGGGCGCCAAGTATTAATACATTGAAGAAGTCTAGACAAGTGAGCTGGATGAAATGTTGGAATTATACCAAATTTCAATCGATGAGATTATTTCAAATATAATTTTCACATATAATGACTTATCCATGAAAAGGTTTAATTTGTTTTTCTTTAATGTATTATCTGTTATTAATATGGTTTGTAATTCATTTCATGAAATTTTTCGTTTCATTACAGTATTAATAATAAATGCAGTGAAAATTGGATGAGAAACTACTGAAATAAATACTTTTTGTTTAGTTACCCAAATTTTTGGCATGAAGATTAGTATAGTTGTTAACTGAAAACCATAGATTACTTGTTTGTTGACGGAGAAAAATATCTGTAATGAGTTTTTCTACATAAATAGGCAGAGAACCGTTATCTATGCGATTATCGTCAAAATCTAATAACTATATAATAATAAACTTATAATAATTTCAAGTATTATCATTTCTAGTAATTAAAATCAAACTAAAAAGTTTCTCTTGATTTTAAAAATGAAAATGTCATTTATCTGGACACAAATCACTTAGATATGATTCGTTCCAAAGATAGGTCAGTTGCTAAATATTGGTAAATTAAAGGAATCATAAAAATTTTTTTGTTTTTATGTTGTGGGTCTTGATGAAATTCAAGAAAACCAAACAACGTAATAAAAAGGTTGGAGACTTTATTGTTTATGAGATATTTTAGTATGATCTAATGACAACATTACCATTAAATACTAATTACATTGAATACTGTCAAATATATTGAATAAAGTTGACGTTTTGGATTTTTGTTAGATATTTGCATTTGTAATAAATAAAAATAGGATTGACAACACCTTTGCTTAACCACACTGGTAGGTGCTCACGAGACCGAATGTGCAAATTCCTAGAACATCGGCTAATATAACTTGCTCCACAGGAGCAGTTGAATTGATAGATACAGAAGGAGGTGGCTAGTCTAGGTAATTTATCTTTCAACCTCGGAGTGATTATTGGTCGTGTGGAGAATACTAGTTGTAGTTTAGCTGCGTTAAAAGTCCTTTGAATTGATCTACTTAACTTAAGTCTAAAGATTTCACTCGGTGCATCGCCTTTGAATTGTAAGCGTATATATAGAGGATTTTTATTTACCGTTGGGTATTCTCTACGCTGTCTTTTATTGGCTAAATTTTTATTTATAAATTTCTTTGGATATCCATTTTCTTTCAGGGTTGCAAACAATGTCTTTGTTTCATCTTTAATCGTATCCATAGTGCATACATTCTTGATTCTATGATGTAGAATTATCAGAAACTATGCATGACAGTCAGCTTCCATGCAGCGTTATCCTAACTGACATCAGTTAACCTTATGTGGCAGTTATACTGAATGAAAATTGAAAATACATATAATCTTATTATATATATTTCTTTGAGCGTATCTATCTCTACTAATATATTGTAAGGTGTGATAATGAAACTAACTAACGTTACATCACAATTAATTCGTGGAGGTCATAAATTTTTCCAGGTAGTTGGGAGGAAGTCGTGATAGTATGTTCAATGTTTGTACCATTAAGATACGAGCAATACCTATAAAGCTGGTAACTTCTCAAAATATTAAAATTCATTACACAGCTTCATTTAGCGCAAATTCTATGTAAATGTCTTCTTCTTAATTGCGTTTAGAAATCAATCATCAAAGCTGAGTTATCCCCTGACTTTTGTTACTGAATGCTAGTATGCTATAACTTGCATAGTACAGAATCGTAGTCAGACGTCGATTTTTTTTTCTTAAACACCTTTCTCTTTTACTTTTGAACAAACTATTTCCAGATAACCCGATTAACAAATCTCTAAAGATAATATGAAACAAAATAAGGCATTTTATTCGTTTAAAAAAAACGATTTTTCATAAACTCTGGGATAACTCAGAATGGTGTGAAAATGGTATAAATTGGTAAAACGCTTGTATAATATTCAAAAAGGACAAAAAACAAAAGTCAAAATAGACTAATCGGAAGATGAGGAAAACAAAGATAGTAAGGAAGAAAGGATGTGAATTACACTACTCTGGATAATGAGTCAATGTTATCAGGGTTTGAATAGTTCAATTACACCTTGTTTTTGAACGTACTGTGTTTGTCATCTCTTTTGTGTCACTTTATTTCTTTTTTGCAGACATTTTGATTCAATCACCCTATATCTTTTCCGGTATTATTGGTTTATTATCCAGAGTGATGTAATTTATAGCGTCTTTACTGTTTATTTTTGCTTGACAAATTGTCTAGTTGACTTAAATTTTATTTATATGTAAATGCCTTACGCCATCCAATCAAATATTCTCATTCCTATTTACACTTCGTTTTCGTGTTCAATGGTTTGTGTTTATTTATATTAAATGATTCATATTCTTTGAAATATTTTCGATGTATACTGAACATCTAGCCTTACGTATGAACGTATGAATAACGATAAACTACCCCTCACAACTCATGTCACGGTGAACATCCATACGTTTTAGCAGGATAACGCTATAAACAATGAAACTAAAATAATCGGTTTTCACAATTTACTTTGGTATTTTTTAAAATTCTTGGTTGATTTCAAAGTGCATTTTACGGGACAGTTTCAGTTTCCTCTGTTGAAACTAAACTGTGAAATAAGATTATTTACTGTAAAATCAAAATTGAGGAGAAAAATGTTTATAATATGTTAAAAGACTAAAGTACTTAAAGATTTATGTTAAAAAAATAACTTCAGGCATCTAGAACCAAATAATCCTTAACTGAGAGTAAAACATGATTATTAAGGGGGTTTGTGGAGATCACTGAATGTTGTTAAGATCATCAATTAATATGAGTTAGACGACCGTTGAAAATAATCGTTGTGGCTGATAACAGTGTTAATGAGAAAAGTAACAATAGTAGACAAAGTTCTGAATTTACCCTGAACACATCGTGGTTTTCTTGGAATGCTTGTGTAAATTTTGACGACTATTTCAATCACAAACTGACGTCACTAGGAGAAACAATAGAAATCGAGAGAGTCTGGATTGATATCTGGTTCTAATTTAAAACCCATTACTAGCCTGCACTATTGCAAACGGTTTGTAAATATCCTCTTTTTATTTTAAGAAGATATGTTAAAGTAAAAACTCTTAGTAAAACTATGGTCTGAACAGCAATCATACGCCATCAAGAAAATATTTTTTTCATATTATAGAAAACAGTTACTTTTATTGAGTTCGCGAAACGAACAATGTTAGATCACCATTGTAAACCTAGAAGCACTAGAAGCCCTTTTCATCCTGGTATGCATCTTCTCGGAAGTACTCGATGACCATCTCCACGCGTGACTCGAACTCGGGACCTACGGGCTCACACGCAAACGCTTACTTTCTAGATTACTGAGCCAACATCCAAACGCGTTATTGTCTAACTCCAACTAATCCACGACATCGTACGACTATATTCCCTTGACTTTAAAGGGTTACTGCTTCACACTAGACATGGTTGAACTCCACTGGTCACGGCTTTTCTGTAGAATTCCGACAGTCCATCTAGTGCTTCCAGGTTTCCAATGGCAGTCTAACATTGATCGGATAATGATCTTCACAACCTAGTACTGAAAAATAATTATTTCATATGACTTCTAGAATTACTTGTTTCAAATAAAATAACAGATTTTTTGATAAACATAAATATTTTGTGTGTTTGTGATGAATAAATTTGTAGTTGAGGTCACATGTTGTGGATTTCTATGATTTTATTCATCTGGTTAATATACGTCATCAGTAATACAATTTATGATGCTACCTCTTCAAACCACTTAAAGCAGGTTGCATACTGTTGTAGTGTCAGTTATAATGCCAAGCCCATATACCTTATTCGAGCTTTCGGATATCCCATTCTATTCATTCTACTTAAGTCATATGTTGATCTTGCTAGTTATTCGCTGATCAATCTAAACTGTTTTTATATGAGCGTATATGTGTGTGCTTTTCTTATCCCATTAATCACATGTCTGTAGCTTTATTTTGTCTGACTATAAATATTGAGTCTCGTTTCAGCGAAAGAGGAGTTGGCTTCCCAGCCATCCTCCCTGCTTGTCATTTTGCTCTGTTCTATTACATTCACTTTACATACAAAATCTGTGTATTCAAAGGCCATTCTCGTTAATTGACTTATCTAAATTCCGTTATTGACTAACGTGATTTAGGTCGACGATGATATACGAGAATTGGCGATAACAAACATCCATACGCACTAAATGGAGACAGATCAACAGGCCTCCACACTGTTTCTCTTTTTCACATACACGTACAAACAAAAAGATTTTTATCAGTATGGGTAATAATCATGTACTTACCAGTAACTAGCTTTAAAATAAATTTCCTGGTGTCCTAGTGAGAAGCTGTGATCAATGGAGTCTATTCCGTGTCGGGTATGAGACAGTTACCCACCTCAGATAATGAATGGAGGGTCGCTCAAGATCATGAACCGATTGTAGTTAGACATTAATACTGTTGGATGCTGACTCAGTGGTCTAGGTGTTAGGCATTAGCGCGCGAGATCGTGGATGTGTGCTGCTGAGACGAAACAACCCTCCAGTGATTACAGGTTTTCAGTGGTAGTCTGGCTTAGATCGACTCGTAAATTCAACTATAAGAAATAGCATAGAGCATTTTCGTTGTTTTCATGCTTTTCTCCGTTTTTGCAGTGTACTATCTCAAAAATCTTACACATTACTTAGGAATAAGAAACATGGATTTAAATCCTTACAAAACCGTTGAACTTGTGAACAATGCTTTACAATGCGTGAATCAGTGGATGATTAAAACTGAGATCAATGTAACTAATGATGGAAAGAATGCAATGATAGTA